TACCAGATGACCCTAGCAAGAGTTCATATAACACCTATGACTCTAGCCCAGATAAAACAAGCTAAAAAAGACAAATGCGCCTGAGCCTATTTGAATCAAGGCAAGCAGGTAAGGCGTGGAAGAGCACACATTAAGACACGATTGAAACTCCACATTTCATAACACTCAAACTAGAATAAGCATTCTACAATCTACAAAATACAACTTTAAACACACTTCAAAAATACAACTTCATCCAAACCAAAGGTCAGATGGAAGGTGTCTTACGTGTGCATGTGATACACCAGAAAAAAATGACTGTAAAATAGCTAGCTTGATGATGGCAGCTTACTGTGTGTCTGTTCTTTGGGTGGTACCACAACATTACTAACACTCCATCCTCTACTTAATTTAGCATAACATTACCTCAAAAGGTGCCAAAACATTTATTACACATTACCTCACTCAGGATACGATCGCTTCCAATGCATCTTTTGGCAATGACACAATAACTCATTTTTACTGGATCATGTTAATGAGCCCATATGCCACTACTTGACTAACGCAAAGCTCATCTTTAAGGCTATTCGTCCTGTGAGCACACATAGAAACATTAATCATGTCAGCACTTTATTTTAATTCATTGCTTTGTCTTTTCTTTTCATTTGAAAGCACCTTCAGGGGATTGTGGGTTTAAAAAAAAAAAAGCTGATAAGGAACTTGATTTATGCAAAAAGAAAAGCATAAAATCTTATTTACATCTCAACAAGCCACTTTTAATCACAGCCACAGCAAAACAGAACAGAGTTTTCACAGTTTGTTGCACTGCGATGTGGTAAAATTTAATTTCCTCATGCCAGTCTTAAATTAGCGGAGGAGAAGATTTGCTTCCTGTTGTAAACAGCCATCTCTCATCTCCAGCTCCACTTTGTTGTTCCCCTGTGTGATGTCAAGCTCTGCCTTATGCGTGTGTTTGTTTATGTACTGATTGTATCCCGGGGGAGGAACTTACATGGTAGGTCATGTCTTTCATCACATCCATGTTGCGCCAGGCCAGACTTCCATCTTAAATTACGCACACACCCCACGCACTCTGCCATAAATGCATACAGGGGCAGCAGTTATCTACATTATATCCCCAAGCTTTCTGCACCCACTTTAGTTTCCTATTCCCTAAAACCGTGACTGTGGTATATGTCGATTTGCAGCCAACATTTTATGCTTCTCATATATGAATTTGCTGTGTCAGAGCTGCGTCAGGACCTAAACTAAATGTAAAACAACCAGCTTTAGTTTTGAATGTTTGCTTGTGATTTTAAAAGATTGAAAAAGGATTTGGATCCTATAAGCAGACTCAAAGCATCATTCAGATGTGATAACGTGCTATAAACCCAGTCATATCCCTATTCAACCACTCGGCATATAAGTGGATTTAAAAGATGAAATCAAGAGAGGACTTTAGTTTAAACTTTTGCGTGCGTGAGCTCCCTGTACTCGAGTCGCTCCTTTGGGAAAATCGTTCACAGAAACCATTCTTCTGAAGAGACGCGTAACCTCTCGCTATTCAGCTCGAGAGAAAAGCGGCCTTATGCCAGGTCCTTGCTGTCCGCCTAGCCGCCTGCCTCCACCGCAGTAGACAAAACAAGTGGGAGGCAGGATTTGTTTAGACAGAGCTCACCTGGCACACAAGCAGACACAGAAACAGTGATCAGGCAAGCCCTAGGGAGGAGTAGAGGCAGCAAAGAGGCGGGGAGGAGAAGCGGTGGTGGTGGAGGTATGATGAGCCTATGGAGAGGGGGAAGGGGCTTGGAGAGGAGAGCATGGGGTTCAGCATGCCACCCATATCCAGGATCATTAAAAAAAATCAAAGCAGATTAAGAATTAAGGGACCTTGATTGGCTTTCAGTGTGTATGCAGAGCTGGGGTTAGGGCTAGCCATACCAAGACTTACCAACAGTTTAACAGCACTGGATTTGTGTGTCTGTGTATGTGCTGGCTGCAGTTACATGAAGCTTAAAGCACTTGGCTATAGAAAAGTCCTCAGCTAATCTCTCACCTAAAATGCATTGAGCGCCAAAGGCTTTACGCACGACATCAACACACTGATCGTAGGCCTACAATGTCAATTTTAATTATGTATTAATAAGAGAGGCTGCTCTTTTCTCCTTGTTAAATAAGGTATTTGTTATATTACAAACTTAAAAGTCGACATCACAGTTAGAGTCCCAGTTAAAAGCCTTAAATGCAAGTCGAATGGATCACACAAGCCAGAAATGACCCTTTAAAATGACCTTAAACACAGTGCTGCGGTGATTTTCTCGCTACCTTGCTCATCTTTGAAAAACATGTGAGGTGAGGTTCGACAGGGGAACAAAGCACAAGATGGATGGCAGGTCCCTCTAACCACACACTGATGGTTACTATAGGATGACCTCAGTTGACCCTTTGGCCCCTCAACAGCCTCACTTCCCTTTGAGTAAGGTTAAATAAGGGGTGCCTGGGTGGGGGGTTAAGACATAAAAAGAGAAAGAAAGTGGCTTGACTGTAACTCTTTGGCAACATCATCAGTAAAATCTCATTAACAATGGTAGCGGCTCTAGAACATTCTGCAGTTAAAAGAAGCATACGCTATTGTATGCGAGTGTTTTGCTGGAAGTGCTTACAGATAAAGCGAGCAACCGTCAGGCCAAAAGGCACGGCTGCAGCAAAAGCTTTATTCCTGTTATTGTTTTGACCTTTTTCCAAACAGCCTGGCATTCATCACTTTCCTTTAGCATCACAACTACGTGTTGACAGAAATGATAATCTGTCCTACGTCAGCTGGTAATGGCACCGAGACAGAAACACAGAAATAACAGCCAGTAATCATGTGGTCCTCAGGTTCCAGAAAATGGGCACTAAAACGACTGTGGTTAGTATTTGCACAAAGAAAGCGTTTTTGGAAAGAGAGGCTTGGCAGTTAGATGCTACATTACAAGCTGAGTGCTCAGTCCATAGCGTGAACAAAGATGGGGAGACAAGGTTTTACACTGAATTCTGTGAACTTTCAATTTAGATAAAGTAGCTAGGCTGACACCATTGTTAGCCTATAGGCTCTTAAGTGTTGCATGGCTCACTCTGTGCCTCTAATTAGCTGCTCAGATTGCTGTACTGTAATAGAAAATGATTACAGGGCAGAAGAAGAATTAAATAACCCACCAACATAGTTTTTGTTCCTCCATTTCACCTGTGCTCTCAATGCCATTGATGAAATATGAAACTATGGCTACATTTAGTTGTTAACAACAAATTCAAATGCAAATGAAATAAACTTCTACTGCCACAAATGGTCACTTGAAAAGATTCATTAAAAGCAGAGACAGAGGTCGACTGAAGTGAGCAGATTGCTCACCATCATTGGTTCAACCGTCTGACTGATAAAGGTCTGATTGACAGATGGTAGATCAAAACTTCTGTCACCCTGCAGGGTGGCAGCACCTGTCAATCAAAAAGGTCTGCACGGTGTCCAAGAACAATCCAGCTAGTCAAGAATGTGAGGCTTGAAGGTTTTCTTTGTCACTGAGGTATTCTGAAAAAAGTCTCTTTCTCATCGTATCCACAGGAAAGACTGGTCAGCATTTCTGTGCATCTGGGGAGTCAGCAACGATGACTCTACGGGGCAGAGTCTAAAAACTGATCAGAGGTCAGTGGTCTCACTGGGGGCAGAGGAATTACAGGTTTCAGAATCAAGAGGAAGTGAATTTGCACCAAAGTTGAGAGTTCAGCAAATGAACTTCTGCCGGACATGCTTTTCGTTTATGTTTGCATAATTGCGCGTAAGCCTGCAGCAGAACTCGAGATGGAATCAGCTGCTTGTTTGGTTTTTACTTGCTGGCTGATCAACCACCATGTAATCCGTTCAGTCTTATTACTTGTGACAAAATTAACATCCACCACATGTATGTGTGTACATGTTAATTACAGAAATGAAAGCTTGTTAACAGCCTTCACTAGACCAGGGTCTTTCACAGCTAATTAGGCAGCAACATGGACACATGCACACAGAATCATACACAGGGGACGCGTTACATGCATCTGCTCTTTAGCACCTTTCCCCATAGCGTTAGTCTGCTGATTCCAATCATTAGACCCATTAGAGGCCAATTAACACCATCACAAAGCTCCCTTTCTGTTTTATGGCACCATAAACAAAACCTGCAGGCTTGCCTTGGGCCCAGCAGAGCTCAACAGACTAATGCAACACAGAATAATTTAATTCAGTAATATACTACCTTTTAGGAGCAGACACAAAGGCTTACAGCCTCCATCACATTGGCTTATGTATAAATTCTGACTCTGTCCTGAGGTCTAAGCACTGATATTGACTTTTACCTTTGAAGCTGATTGCAGCTTATATGAAGTACAGAAAAGCCATAAAATCTCCTCTGTAGTCGGCTTTTGCTTTATTCTTGGGGTTGTAAATCTATAAAGAAGGGCAGCATCTGGCCTAGACCACAGTTCCCATCCAGTAACATATTAACCATTATTCCATTTATCTCAACTGCATCATCAATGGGGTGTGTGTGTAGCAGGTTTATGCTGTGCTGATAAACCAGCCTCCAGACTAATCCATACAGTCGGATCGGTTTAGTAAAAGGGAACCTGTTTGAAGTGCCTTATGTGGGTCAAACTGTGTCAGAATAGGCCTTAAAGATAAGCATAAGGGTGTTTTCCGCATGTTTAAGTCGTGCCCTATAGTGGGTTTGCGCAAACGCTTGAGTGTGCATGCTGCAGCACGCCACAGGCACGGGTCGTCCCGAGAGGAGAATTTGATGGGTAACAGCACTGAAATCAGTTACAGTGGCAGTCGTGCTCAGCAGTTATTCGTGATGTGTTTCATTTCCCAAGGGGGCAAAAATAAACTCTGCACACAACACTCTCAAGTTTCAAATGAGCTCAAGTGCAGTTACGCAGTATAAAAGCAAGTTCTAAGAAAAGAACGCGCCGCTTTCTAAAGTCTAGAAAACAAGATTGTATTTCGTGTGTATTGCAAAACAAATAACAAAACCACAACCTGAAAGGTCTGGAGAGCCCACGGTGAGATCGCAGAGGACGGTCAGACACGTTATTCCCAAGAGGAGCGTAAAACTGACGGCTGAGAGAGTCCCATCTGAGAAGAACATCCTTGAAGCCTCGCGTTTTTAAATTGTCTCCGAATCATTAGAAAGTCCAGCAGCATCAGCAGCAGCGGAAACATCGAGGTTCAGACTGCGAGATGAATTCAGGAGATGTGCGCGTCCATGTCTCTAGCCTTCTCCTCAGCCTCCCACCACACCGCTGTGAGACTGAGACTGGGATTACTCAAGACTGGAGCCGTACACAGCTCTCTGACTACACTTCCAACTGCGTGTTGTGGAGGATGGCCACCACCTGCGGGATCGACGCTCCCCTGCATGGTCTCAAAGAGCCAGAGTTAGCTTAGGAAGTCTTTTTCCTTCTTCTTAAATGTGCAATGTTTGAGTCCTAATTGACAGAGGTGTCTATGTTACTTATGTATATTATATCTATTTTCCACTTTATATCTACTTTCGTCTACTTTCGTAATCTGACAGCTACAACGACCAATCTGATAAATTACGATTTAAAACAGAGTAATAACAGACTATAGCGACAGCCTATAGGTTGCAAGAAGCTCCAACATAA